TGGGCGCGAGGAAGCTTCGCTCCATTGTTCTACCCTCTGCTTTTAGCTTTCGGCGTTGGAAGCAACTATGGGCGCGAGGAAGCTTCGCTTCATTTCCTTTGGGGACAGGGTTCCCACATGTTTGCCCAGTTTGCGCTTGCACTCTTGCGAAGTCTTAAAAAAAGAGCCTTCAAGAGCGCCCCCCAAAGGCATCCAACGATACTCCCAGCATGGTCTTGCCAGGCTCTCAAGGGTTCTCGGGCATCCGCCTGAGCCTGCCCTGTGTCCTTCTTCTGGACGCCTTGCGCAACTTCCTGGAGCGCTTATCCAGCGTCTCCCCACCAGGAAGTACGCTCCCATATGGTGACCCTTGCCAGATGATGTCCATCCTCATCCGATCTTATGAGGTTGGCTAGGACTGCGCTAGAACCTAAGCGCGCGCGAAGCGCGCGCGTGGTTCTAGTACATATTTAGGATGGACGAGTGTACAGAAAATATATGAAATCATACTACCCCAGGGGGAGCTGATAAGGCCTGGGGGGGTAGAGTCTATTTCTCTTTGTAGAATGGAGAATCAACAACCACCTGCTGGAGCGCTCTGGTTCTCGCGCAAGTGAACACAAAGCCCTTCAAATTCGCATGCGCCCTCGCTATCAACGACTAACAGAAGAACGCAGCATTCCTCCCTGCATCTTCACTTCCAAGTTATACGCCAACGCGATCGAGAACCTGTCGTTGCACGCGCAGCATGTCGAGCTCTCCCCGATAGGCAGGTGGCAGGCGCTCAAGGCCACCGTGGCCACCCCTTCTGGCCTTGCGCGCGACGCCCTGTCCTGCCTGCGCCCTGGCGTCCTGAACCATGATCACGGCGCCATCCCCAGGGATGTGAATTCCATGACGATGCGCAGCATTGCTCGTGCGGCGCGGCACCAAGACCGCCGACTGGCCCGCCCCCTCATCAGCAAGTCCCACTGCGGCGCGAAGCACCTCCGCTTGGAAGCTGATGGTTCGTCCTCGTCGACCCTTGCTGTCGTCGCGCTGATCGACGCCCCCGTCTTCGCCTCTGATGCCGTTGCTACCTCTGCTGCAGCTGCGGAAGAACGACGTGCCCGGGCTGCCCGACTTTCCCGCCAAGCCCATCAAGAACAACAGCAGCTACGCGGCAGCAGGTGGCGGAAACGAGCCAACACCGAGCGTCGTCGAGGGGGGCTATGGAAGCCTTTTCGCGAGGCGATTGGCGCTTGCTGGCGTCCGAGCGACACGCGGCGACAACGCCGCGGTGACCAACAACCCTCGGGACATGCACTCCGCCATCCAGGCACACTGGGCCACGACCTTCCAGGACAAGCTTGTCGACGCGAACGCCATGATTTCGCCTTTCCCGTCCAAGCTCCTTTCCTCGCTGACGTTCTTGGCGAACGCGTTCTGGTGCTGATGCAGGCCGCCAAGCTTGCCGCTGACTCCGCAACTGGCCCCGCTGGTCCCCCGCACGCGGCCTGGGCTGCTACCCCGAACAGCACCATTTACCTGGCCGAGCTCACGCAGGACCTGTGCGACGGCAACCATGCGCCGCGCACCTTCATTCACGCTGCGTTGGCAATGCTACCTAGAGGCGATGAACCTGCTGACCAGCACGAGCGCACGCGCGATCCAGGACAACTCCGTCCCTTGGCCATGCAGAACACGGACGCCAAGATGATCGCATCCGCCACCAACAGAAAGTTGCGCCCCTTTCTCAAGAAGGTCTCCCCCGTCCAACGCGGATTTGTTAATGGTCGTCAATTCTTGGACAAAATAGTCGAAGCCGATACCGATTCTCGTCTGTGCGGCCTCTAGCAGGACGCCGAGAGCAACCGTCCGCGCTTCGTGAGCATGGGCATCGCCGCTGCTTTTCCCGCCGCTGCCTCACGTTTGGCTATGGGAAGTGATTCGACGCTGGGGAGCCCATGGCCGCCACCTCAACCTGGCGCAGTCCTGTTTCACGCCCGTCATGTTCCTCGTGCTTGGAGCCACCCGACGCCCGCCATTCATTGCGGAGAGCGGCGTGGCCCAGGGTTGCCCTTTCAGTGGCACGTTGTGGGTTCTGGCATTCGGCCCCGCGCTGCGCGGCATCCTCCACTTCGAGAACATCAAGCGGGATGTCGCCACGGCGTGCGCGGGCGACTTGAGATGTGTCCTGGTACGGCTTGCCGACATCGTCGGCCTTAGGTTTCACCTACTTGCGATCGCTGAATACGCTGGGCTGCGTCTTCAACCGCGCAAATGCGCTCTGGTTCCTGTCTGGACTATTGCATTGCGTCCTCCAACCCGGTGAACAGCATGGGGGACACGCTCAGCCAAATACGTAGCGACTGGTCTCTCTTCAAGATCGACAGCCATGCCTAGTACATCGGAGTCTTCATGGGCCCTGGTGCCGACGAGCGCACGCAGCGGGCGGCCCCCTCGGCGAAGTGGCTTCATCGGTCGCAAATTCTCGGCGCGCCCCGCGCCCCGATTCAGCAGAATATCGCGCTGTGCAACTCCTCTGTATTGACAACCATCTCTTATGTTGGACAACCCTCCCCTGCTCCTGAATTCGTTCTCAGCCGCGAGATACACGCACTTTACAACATCATTCGGTCTGTCCCCTCGGCCTTCGCCAAGATGGACACCCTCAGCATGAAGCTCTGGGCAGGTGCGGACATCCCCACCGGCGTTGAGGCCTTCTTGGGTGCCACCATCTGGCGCGAGGCCTCTTCCACAATCTCTGTTTGGCGTGCTGCTTACGAGACGCTGAAGGAGCCAGCCGTCCTCGCCCTCCCCATGGCCGACTACGCGCAAGGCTTGTGGTCGCCTCCTTGCTGGTGCTCTTCGAGGTCGATTGCCCAACATCTTCATGATGCAGCTGCTGGTTCGACCTTCCCCATGGGCAAGGGCTCCATCCTCATGCACGTGAAGCGGCAGTTGCACCATCCTGAACTGGCACGCCTCCAGCTCCTTCGCGCTTGCCGCAGCGCCAGCGCAGCTGCTTGCGAAGCTCCTCGCCCCCGCCGTCAACGCCCTGGCGAGCCCCCGACGAAATCCCCGCAAGCTGCGCTCCTCAACGAAATCCAGAAGAACACCTACACGGACGACTTTGACCCCGCGGTCGTCAAGCACCTGAAGGCCTGGTTCCCAGACCTCCCCACGGCGCAGGATGAAGTTGGCCCTACCGCAGATGGCGATCAGCGACTCCGTCGCCCTGAAACGCTCTCATCGATCCTCTCGTGCCCGACTCTGCTCGCCGCGCCGCCCACCCCCGACGACACCGAGACCGATCGTGTTGATGTTGATCGGGAGCTCCCGCTCCTCGCAGAGATGCTGGCGCACTGGGCCTCGGACGGGTTCACCGACCTCTACGTCGACAACTGGGGCATAACGTAGAGCCGCGACAAAGACTGGCTCGAATGGCGCGGACGACATGTACTTCGTCATCTTCGCCGACAGGGGCTCCGCATACTTCTAGGCGGTTGCTCAGAGGATGAGTTGCGTCGTCGCGCTCACAACATCTGCCGCCGAGCACGGTGCGACTCTGACCTGGACCGCCGTGCTCGCGCCCAGCTCGTGGAACGCACGCTGAGATCGAGCAAAGCCCATGCCCTATTCACCTTGGCTGTCTCTGAGCAACGACAAATGCCTCAATGGATGTTGTTGGCCGACGTAATGAATGATCCCTCCAACCCCTTCGACGCGCACTTCAACGAGCAGATGGGCGCCGACGCTGTTTCGTGCAACGACCTGACCGCGCCCTACCAGCTGCATCTCAGCGTAAAGACCTCGTGGAAGAAGGCCAAGCCCTACCTCGTGCGGCTTCCTCCCTCCCGCTATTGGCCTGTCGTCAAGTCCTTGGCGGGGGGGCTGGTCTACCTCGCATCGACTTCATGCTCGCCCTGGTCGCCGCTTCTGCATCTTCGGGCGCACCCCAGAACCGCTGCTGATGCCATCGCTCACTACTGGGCGCGCCCGAAGCTCTGGCACACCTTGGCGCCCCCGCGCGGCAGGCTCGCCAACTGCATCCTCAAGAGGCTGGGGCTTCACGCCCTGGACTTCGACGTCTCCCCGTCCGCAGACGACCACATCTGCCACGTCCACGCCCGCCTGGCCGTGGCCTATCGCATGTACCACACCGTGAAGGAAACGAACGTGTTATACCCCGCCAGCGACGGCTACGGGGTCGGATACGCGCGTCTGAATGAAGCCCGTGCCGCCGCGCGCCTGGCCCTTCGGCTCGGCGCCTCGCCGCGCGGAGGCCGAGGCGCGGGCCCGCCGCCTGCTGCTGCTCGGCCTTCCTCTCCTACCGACCGACCGCCGCCCCCCTCGTCTTCGCGTGGGCCTCTTTTTCTGCCGTCCGACCGTGTCCCCTCTTCTCCTCGAAACGTAAATTAGGCTGCGAGCACGCCGCCCGTGCCGCCCCGCGAGCCACCCGGCGCAGCTAGCGCAGGTGAAGGCCGCTAGACGCCAGACTTGCCCCTCCCAGGGTTCGTTTGCTCCTCCTCCTTTCCCCCTCATTTTCCTCCTCCTCCTCCTCCTCCTCCTCCTCCTCCTCCCCCTCCTCCTCCTCGTCGCCAGTTTTCCATCCCCACCCCTTTCGGCACCTCGCGGTCGGCCTCGCTCGCGTTGCGCGTTCGGGAAATCACCCGTGAAGGGGCAGCGGATTTCTCCTTTTCTTCTGCTTGGCCGCTGGTAGTAGAAAATATTAATCCCCACCCCTTTCCTCCAGCGCTTATATTCCCCGTCCTCTCTCCACCGTCCCCCTCCCATTCCCTCCCCATCCGCCTCTCCTTTTCCCCCCGGTTTTGGCCCCTCTCTTGTCCCCCCGTCGCCCCTGCATCTCCCAGCCCCTCTTTCTTCTCCTCATTCCCCCCTCCACGTCAGCTTTCCGTATCTCCTCTTTCCGTCATTATCCGCGACGACGACGGCGGCGGCGGCGGTGGCGGCAGTGGCGGCGCGGCGTCGACGACGACCCCTTTTCCCTTTTTTCTCACGTTCTTGAGCGCATGGAGGACAAGTCGGCGGACACTGGCTGCCATTGCAACGACAGTGAGTTGCAGTCGATGCTCGACCAGCTGCCCGAGCCTGAGAACGCTGCCCCAGGCTTTGCATACCACCTTTCACCTTTCCCCCCCCCGTTGGTCAACCTCCCCCCTTGTTCTGCAACCTTTCAGTTCGAGAGCCCCGCGTCTACTTCTTCTGAGGATAGGTTCTGCGGAAGTTGTTTTTCAATGCTTGCGTACATTGCAGAAGTTTTTCGCCCAGAGCTGAAACATGAAAATGTATCCCTGTTCCGCTCCCCCCTTCCCTTCTTCCCCCTCTTCCCGCCCCCGCGCGGGACAAGAGGGCGGAAGTGCGAGGGCAAGGGGGCAGGATGGTATTGCATGGAAGGGCCGCAAAGGGTGTCCCAAAAGGCGGCGTGGCGCGTGTGGACCTGATCGCCGCCGTCTTCAAGCAACTAGACGCCGACACCGATGGCATGCTAAGCTCCAGGGAGATGCGCAAGTTCGCGGAGCCTCATCAGGGGCAAATTCTACGGACGACGTATTCATAGTCCTTCGTTCGTTTCGGTACAACTTAGCACGCAAAGGTCAGCCAGTCAGCCGACCGCTGGGAAATAGTGTTTTCATATGCCGTTCGAAGCAGGTCCACGCTTCTTTTACGGCTCCTGCTTGTCCTGATGCTCTGCTTCTCAAAGTGGCTGATCTTGTTCCAGCATGTCTGGAGACCTGACGTCGCCGCTCTGTGTGCTATTATCACGTGATCATCGTAACCTCTAGGGGGAAGTAGGAGGAGGAGGGGGAGGAGGAGGAGGAGGAGGAGGAGGAGGACGAAAAGTAGGAGCGGGAGCAGTAGAAGGGTGGAGGAAGAGGATGGTTCTTTGCTAGGGAATTTTGAGAATCTGGCTTCTGGGCTGCAGCTCGGCCCCCATGGGTCCGATCGGGGCTGTCGTGCCGCAGCTCTGAGGCCCTCTTCCGGCCAAGGCTGCTGCCTTGGGCATCCGGTAATAAGCCGACGAGACTGGCAGAACGGCAATTGGCCCTCACGCTTGAATTAAGGCAGGAAGTTGTCGGACGGGGCTAGGACGAGGATAAATTCGTTTCAGAACGTTCTGTAGCGCTCTCGGAGCGTTCCAGAACGCGCTGAAAAGGCCGCGGCGCCCGAGACATTTTCCCAAACCGCCGGGTTCTAGAGATTCTCGACTTATCCTCACCCGAAGTTTTCCTCGTCCTCGCTTCGTCTTAAGGGAGGATGGAGGGATCTTGGGGGGAGGAGGGGCCCCCTCCAGCTCCTGCCTGTGAACTAACCCAGCTGTGGGACGCTGGGGCCCACCACAGGAGCGCACTGGCTTCCAAGGCACCGAGGCCGCATGGAAAGAGGAGTTCCAGAACCTGTGCACCGTACCTGGCAAGGAGGAGCTCCAGAAGCTCGACCTGGCCTTTTTCTCCAAGCTCGTGAACGACAGGCGCCTCCCATTCTCCTGCCCCCCCCCCTCCCCCTCCTCTCCCCCTCATCTCCTTCTCTCCTTGCTCCGCTCTCACCGTCTCCATCCCTCTTCCTTCCCCCCCCTCCCTTTCTCTTCTCCTCCCCCCGTGTTTGTCCTTCTCCGCCCCATCCCCGTCTTCTGAAGGGTGAGTTGGGAAGGGTCTCGCACGCGGCTGTGCTCCTGGTATACGCGTACTCGTCCTCCGATCGCTCTGCACCTTTTGTTGCAAGCTTTGGGTTCCGCTATCTGTAGCTTTCAGCATAGCTTGGACCTTCAAATTAGGTCTGCGTTGTACTTATACATACATACATACATACATACATACATACATACATACATGCATGCATACATGCATACATACACACATACATTGTATGTTTGTAAACTGTCTTTATCTCCCCCGCGTCCCTTCTTCTGCCTGGCCGTCTGTTCCATAACCGCTCTTGCTCAAGCTCTCAGGATGAGCCCCCTTCTTCCTTTGAGCTCTCTCGGCCTTTGGCGAGGGAGGACGCGGGCCGCCATCACGAACAGATACTTATGTTTGCTGTCCCGCCTGCTCGTCCTCGTGTTCAACGAGAATCCGCCCTGGGGCGGAGAGGACGAGCAGGCGAGCGCTGAGGAGTGCGACGCAGAGACTGAGGGCGACTTCGTTCCATTCCCGGGGTTCACCTTGGCAAAGTCCGTGGACGAAGGGGTCGACTTCGGTGCTGAGATAGATTCCATCCTGATCGCGGGCATCGAGGCCAAAGGGCTGCCGATCTCTGTCCTCGAGATGGTGTGGAAGAAATGGAATCGAGCGTATCTACAGACGGGGGAAGACTCGGCGGTGGTCCTCATGCTGGTGCATCCCGTGCCGGGCAAGGTCGGGACCTGGACGGTGGTCGACCCCGCCAAGCGAGTGCAGCCTCAGGACCTCCGGTCTCAGAGGATCCATGCGAAGCCGAAGGCCAGGTGGCAGCTGGCGCCCTTCGATGGACTCACGGCTGAGCAGAAGGAGAAGGCAGAGGCGGACTCGGTAAAGCTGATCAGGAGGACCGCGGGCGACTCGTGGTTTTCGATTCCCACGAGTTTGACCAAGCCCCAGAAGGAGAAGAGCAAACACAAAGGAAAGAGGTCCTCGAAGGGCAAAGGGTCTAGCAAGTCCAACTTCGTGTGGTGGCTCGCGCAGACCGTGGTGACTGGTGGCGGGGCCGTGTGGAGCTACAAGTTTGTTGGGACCTTCGGCCTGGGGTGCTTGCTCAGCTACAAGGCTTGGAAGTTCTTCGGGATTGGGGAGCTGATCGACGACAGCATGAATGCGCTGAGGTCGGCATCAGAGACTGCTGAGAGGGCTACTGACACCTATGACAATTTTGTTGGGCGCTGGGAAGAGGGAGGTTTTGATTCGATGATCCTTGGCGGCCTGGCGGTGGCCTTCGTCGCCATGCTGGTCTACTCCCTCGGAGGTTGTGATATGAAGAAGAAGCGTTTCAACGGAGAGGGTTTCGTCACCGACTCTGACAGTGAAGGTTTAGTTGACCTCGGCACGGCCGCCTCGGACACCGATGATGACGACGGGCTCATGAGGCACCCTGGCATGCGTATGCTTCTGGAACAACAGGCGGAGCTTCAGAGCCAGATCGCGAGGCTTTCGGCTAAGAAGACGAGTGACAGCAGCGACGAGGGTGACACGAGGTTCACGGCCGCGCAGGAGGACGAGTCAGTCAAGATGGGTATCGACAAGCTGATGGCGAGGTTGATGGCGCATGAGAAACAAGTCTCGGATGATCAGGGTGGCGCTGGCGGGGCGGTGCGAGGTAAGGTGGTCTCATCACTGGACGGGCTGAGCGCCTCGGCAGTGAAGAACTTCGTCTCGCAGGGTCAGCCAGGGAAGTCGGTCGACCACTACATCCAGGAGCTGGAGCAGGAGGCCCGCGACCCGCGGACTGCCATGCTGTCCCAGCTGAAGCAGTATGAGACCGCGGACTGGAGCATCGGGCCGTCGCAGTCTCGCATCGCTCCCATGGTCCTGGCCAGGATGTATAAGTTCGGGACGAGCGCCAAGTTCCAGGTCCAGCAGTATGTTCGGTCGAAGGAGCTGGAGTCATGCCATGCTGCAAGCGAGATGGCGCTGATGGCCGCCATCCTGGACAGGATGTTGAACGCCGACCAGGACATGGTCAACAGCCAGGCGGTCGAGGTCATCTGCAGGCGCCTGCACGGTCTCTTCCGTGCGTTCGAGAATGTCAAGAAGCAGAGTGATTGGAAGCAACCACGTGGTGAAGGTGGGAAACTCTGGAAGAGCAAGGCGCGGTGGGAGCTCGCAGACGGGTACGACGCGGTCGCGCTTGAGAGCGACGACTGGGCCATCACAGACGCCGACGAGGAGGTTCGCAAGCGCCTGGAGCGGAAGGCTTTGCTCAACAAGTACCTAGACAAGGCCTTCCCCGACGGTGGCAAGGACAGCTCCGAGTAGGGGTTGCCTGCCTCTCCAGCGGCGGGAGGGGCGCAGGCAAGCGCGGAGCGTCGCCGCCTTTGTTTTGTGCTCTTCAAGTACTTGCTCAAGTTCGTGATCTTGGCGACGGCCCTGAGCGACCTCCTTTGCGGCTTCGGCGCGGGCCCTGTGCACAAAGTTTTTCGGCCTGCCGAATTCGGTGGCCCTTGTCGTCGGGAGCGCGTGCTTCGGGATGACCCCGGGTTCAACGCGGAGGCCCGCAGGTGCGGAGGCTCGCATCCGAGACCCTCTGTGCAGAGCGCCTCGGGCCCCTTTCTGCGCGGGGGAGGACCAGGAGGAGGAGAGCTCCAGCGCGGACGTCGGCTTGACGATCAGGAGGGTCAACAGGTCGGCGAACGCCATCTCGCACATGTACCGCGGGGTGCTGGACGGGGCGAGGGGCGAGACTCTGAGAGGGACTCGTTCGTCGTGGAGGGGGGCCTCGGCCGCTCAGAGGGAGGTGGCGCGGGACCTGGAGTCGCTGGCGGGCCCGAGCATCGCGGGGAAGTCTCGCCGACGGAGCGCCAGTCTTAAAGCAGCTGGCGTCGCGGGCCGTCGGATGGCATCAGGCGAGGGAGAAGGAGGGAGCGGCCGCGGGGCCGCAGCGTGGCGACATGTGCCCCATGAAGGTCAGCGAGGTGCCCCTCCCGCCGCCGGGGTCAGTGCCGATCCCGATCGAGACCGCGTCGCCGTCGAGTCGCCCGTGCCTGAGGGAGCCGATGAGGACGATGGCGCTCGGCGACCGCGAGGTAGACTGGGCGGCTTACGACATGATCAAGCCGCACAGCGACCCCAGCCTGAAGCAGAAGCAGGTGAAGCTGGAGCTGCTGGAGAGGCTGGCCGAGTCGGGCATGCTCGGGATGTGCGACGAGGTGGTGGAGGAGGCGAAGGTTTTCACAGTCCTGAAGAAGATCGACGAGAAGACGGGGCAGCGGAGCTCGAGGCTGATTTGGGACATGAGGAGGTCCAACATGAGGTTCCGGAGTCCGCCCTGGGTTGCCATGGGCTCGGCCGCGGCCCTCTGCGGGGTCGACTTGAGTTCGAGTGTGCGTGGGGACCTGGAGGTGACCAGCTTCGTCGGGGATGTGCCAGACTTCTTCTACGAGCTGCTCTTGCCGGAGGGGCTGTGGGGCTACTTCGGCTTCGAGGGCGCGTCTGGAGAGGAGTTGCGGGCGCATCTGCAGAAGCGAGGACGGCAGGACCTAGTCGAGCAACTCGGAGGTGGAGTTCGAGTTTGTTTGCGGGCGCTGCCCATGGGCTTCGCGCGGGCGGTCTTCTTCGCCCACTCGGCCCTGCAGGACGCGATGGAGGGCGAAGGCGGACTGAGCGTGGCAGGGAGGGTGCAGCATGGTGCTCCCCCTCCCCAGTTCTATCGTGAGTCGCTCTTGCACTGGATCTTCATCGACGACTGCAGGGTTCCGTCTCGAGCCCAAGGACGTCGCGGTGGAGGAGCTTCAGGTAAAGAAGGACGGAGCGAGGGCCGGGCTGGCCCTGGAGGCGGTCGGGCTGTCAGCTCACTAGGAGGACGTCGGGCGGGGCCTCGAGCGCTCGCTCGGGGTCACCCTGGACGCGGACAGCAAGGTCTTGCAGGTGGTGGAGGAGAAGATCCGCGTGGCGGCGCTGGCTACGGAGGCGCTGCTGAAGCCGGACCGGGCCGTCCCCACGGCGGCCGAGTCGCTGATGGGTTTCTGGGCGTGGATCTTCACCTGTGCGAGAGGGGCCATGAGTGCGCCTCACCATGTTTACAGGTGGATCCAGGAGTACCGAGGCGAGCAGGAGGCCCCTTTGTGGGGCGAGGTCCTCGACGAGTTCTTTGTCATGGTCTCCTTGTCGGTCTACTACGGGACCTTCCTGGGGTCCGAGTGGCACGAGTGGATCTTCATGACGGACGCGAGCCACCTGGGTTTCGGCATCGTGGCGAGCCGCTCGGACGTGAACGAGATGAGGGCCCTCTGCGAGGCAGGCGACGAGCAGGGATGGTCGACGCAGCTTCACGAGGCCTACACGGGAGTAGAGGAGGACGAGCTCGACCACGTCACCCCGACCTGGCAGCATCAGGCGAGGGAGAAGCATGCGCGCGATGCTCGAGATGGGGCTCCTGGTTTTTGGAGCTGTTCGCTGGTTCAGCTCGTCTGTCGGGGGCCATCGGGCGAGCTCGCCTGAGCTGGGTAGAGCCCTGGGAGATCGAGCAGGGGGCCCGCTACGACCTGGGGGACTTGGCGAACCTGGGGAGGCTCTTCGTCGACCTGGCCAGGGGCGTCGATGGGCTTGTGCATCTGGCCCCGCCCTGCGCCACGTGGTCGCGGGCGCGCGTGCCCAAGCTGCGGAGCGCGACGGAGATCTGGGGCCTCTCGGGTCTCTGCGAGGCCGAGCGGGAGCAGGCGGGCGACGGCACCTACCTGATGATGATAGTGGTGGAGGTGATGCTGGAGTGCATCAAGCGGAACGTGGGGTTCAGCATGGAGAACCCCGCCTCGTCGATGTGCTGGCTGTTCCCGCCGCTGAGGAACGTGATGGAGTCGGAGGGCGCGCGCCTGATCTACCTGGATTTCTGCCTGTTCGGGACCGAGTGGAGAAAGCCGACCAGGGTGCTCACCGACGTTGCGGAGTTGAGGAGGCTCGGTCGGCGACGCCATGGACGTGCGAGCTGCTGTTCGCGCACTGGGCAGCCTCATCGGTCTCTGAGGGGAGGCGTGCCGAAAGGCATTCCAGAGTATGCGGACAAGGTGGGGTGGCCCTGGACCAAGGTGGCGCGCCCTTACCCCGACGAGCTGTGCGAGGAGTATGCGAGGCTGGTGGCGCCCCGAGCGCCGCTGATGGCCAGACCAGGGGCAGTGCTGAGGGCCGAGAGGCCCCTGCTGCTAGGAGCGAGAGGGCTGGCGCTGGCCGAGGACGTGCCCGACTCAGTGGCGTACGTGGATCGCTGGCACCTGGTGGTCTCAGGCACCTGGGATCGCGAGGAGCACCAGAACGTGCTGGAGTGCAGGACGGTGGTGATGGCCTTGCGGCGTCTGGCGCGTTGTCGGAGGAACTGGCACCAGAAAGTCGTCGTGGCCACCGACAGCCTGGTGACGATGGGCTGCCTGAGCAAGGGGCGCTCGTCGTCCTGGCCACTGTTGCGGCAGGCAAGAGTGAGTGGGATCCTCCAGTTGGTGCTAGGGATCCGCCCCAAGTTCCGCTGGGTCAGCTCCGAGCGGAACGTGGCGGACGGCCCCTCACGAGGAGCAGCGCTGGGGCCCGACCTGGACACGATCAAGAAGGAGAAGGCCCAGGCGCGCGGACTGCCGCGAGCGGTGAAGGCACGAATCCAGAGACTTCCAGGGCACCGCCAGCGAACAGGCCACCACTGGTAGTCTGGATTGTGATGCTCACGACGGTGCTGCAGGTGGAGGCCGGACGCAAGGCGGATCCCCTGAGCGCGGAGCCGGCAGGTGAAGAACGACAGTTCGAGTTGCCCAAGCCTGCGTCCTCCTGCGTGCCCTTGCGCAAGAGGGGGCCGCGAGCCTGGGACCGCCACAGTGACTACCCCTTCCAGGATCTCGAGCTGCTGGTGAACAAGTTGCTGGTGCACAAGGTCACCGACAGCACCGACAGGATCTATGCGAAGTGGGTGCACATGTTGCTGAAAGATGTGCGCCAGCATGGGGTGCCGTTCGAGACACATGAAGAGCGAGATAGAGCACTGGCTGCGTACATGTCATATCTGTGTTACTCCAAGAGGCTGTCGCACATTCATGGCGGCCATCTGCTGTCGGGCTTCGTTCATATCTTCCCGGAGCACAGGCGCGACTTGCCCCTCTCATCGCGAGCGCTGTCAGCCTGGCAGACGTTCAAGATGTCACAAGAGGGTGGAAGTTTCTGTCGCGAGGTGGTGGGTCTCCTGGTCTCTGACTTGCTGGAGAGAGGGAAGGTGATGTCAGCGTGCGTCGCCTTCTTCACGTTCGACACCTTCTGTCGTGAGCAGGACTGGGCGTCGCTGAGAGTGGAGAACCTGGCCTTTGATGGCGAAGATCTGGCAGTTGCGTTCGGAGATCGACGACGAGGAGAGGAGGTGAAGACGGGCTCGAACCAGGGCCTGAACGTGGGATCGCCCACGACCAGCTCCGAGGACTCACCGAGGGTTGCGATGCAGGCGATGTGGTCTTTCCCTTGAGTGTATAAGAGTATCGACGGCAGTGGACGATCAGCATGATGAGGCTCGGTCTGAGCCACCTCGGCACGCCGCACAACATGAGGCACACGGCGGCCGGGGAGTTCGTGGCGCACGGCGGGGCGCTCGAGAGTTGCAGGCGCCGTGGACGCTGGGCATCACTCTCGTCCAGCAAAGTGAGTTAGTACTGAAGTTTTGGAGTGCGCCACATAGAGTTTTCCTGAGCTCCTTGGGTCGCCTGCCTGTTCCCGCCTCGTCGTCTCTGCCGGAATCCTGAAATACTTGGCGCGCGTGGACCCAGGGAGCCATCGAGGTGACTGCGTCCACCTGTCTCTCGGGAAAGGCCCCCAGGAGACCAGCGCAGCAGTGCACGACTTTAAACCTGTTCGTAGAAGGCCTAAGCGAGGTTAGTAGAATGCGATGGCGATTTTTTCGGAACCCTCCCACCCACCCCAATGAAGAAGGGGACTAGCGATTTAACCAAAGTAAGAGAGTAGGATATTGCAGGATCCTGCGACCTTGAGGGGATCGCGCCTCGGGGTCCGCACTCGTGCTGCCGTCCCTCGCTGCTCTCTGAATGTAGACACCTTCAGGGCCTGGAAAAGAGAGTATGTCACCGCGTCGGGGACCGCCTCAGGGTTGAGGATGCTTGAGCTCTGGCCAGGTTTTTTGGACGATGGAGGGATGATAATGTATGTTTGTAAACTGTCTTTATCTCCCCCGCGTCCCTTCTTCTGCCTGGCCGTCTGTTCCATAACCGCTCTTGCTCAAGCTCTCCCGCCCAAACCCGCCCTTTTTAACTTTAATCTGATCTGTTTGACCGCCTGCACCGGTTGAGGATATTGCAGGATCCTGCGACCTTGAGGGGATCGCGCCTCGGGGTCCGCACTCGTGCTGCCGTCCCTCGCTGCTCTCTGAATGTAGACACCTCCAGGGCCTGGAAAAGAGAGAGTGTGTCACCGCGTCGGGGACCGTCTCAGGGTTGAGGGTGCTTGAGCTCTGGCCAGGTTTTTTGGACGATGGAGGGATGATAAACATACATACGTACATACATACATACATACATACGTACGTACGTACGTACATACATACATACACACATACATACATACATACATCTATACATATGTATATATATATATATATATATATATATATATTCCCTCTTCCTATATGTTTGCAAGCCCAGGCGGGGGGAAAACCCGTCCCCCCCCCCCCCCCCACAAAAAAAAAAAAACAAAAAAAAAAAAAAAAACAGGCTCCCGGGATCTGGGGCTTTGGGGCCCTCCAGACGGGCTTCGAAGCGGCCCTCGGGGCCTCGCAGGGCGTCTTGCCAGGCTTTCCCAGCACATCTAGGGCGATCGGGGGGGTCATCGGGGACGTCCCAGAGACCCCGAAGACAGCACACGAGCGCTCCAAGAGTGACCGACGTGACCTCAAGACGACCCCCAAGAAGCCATCATATCCCCAAAGATCGTCCCGAAACGTCCCAAGAGGCCTCCAAGAGCACTCCCAAGAAGGCCCCAAGAGGCAAAAATCTTCTATTGGTTTTTGATGAATTTTGGGGTTCTCCTCTTTTGGGCTTCCCGACGCTCCAAGACGGCGGTCTTCTGGGCGTCCGAAGCCGCCTGGGAGGCTCTAAAATCACCCCATAACCATTCCAAAGGGCTTCCAGGCAGTCCAAGAGAGCCCCAAAACGGCACAACAGGGGTCCAAGATGGCCCTCAGAGAGCCCCATGGCGGCCCAAGATGGCCCCAAGACACCCTCCGAAGCATTCCAAATTGTGACCCGGTCGTTCAGGGAGACCGCGGTTGGAGGCAAGGCGACCCGAGGAAGCCCCCGGAGGCCCCCAGAACACGCCCAGGAGGCCTCCAGAAGGCCTTAAGAAAGCTTGACATAACTTTTGCGAGGCCCCCAGAGGCTCTCCACGGAGGAGCCTCCGCAAAAAGAGCCGAGGAAGATGGGGAGAATGCACAGGGTATGGCGAAAATGAGGAAAAAGAAACATGGAGGAAGGATAACAAATAATATTATTACAAATAATATTATTGTAGCGGCGATGCCAGAAAAGGCAACAAGGAATTATCGCTAAATTGTCGGCTTGACCTTCCTGCTATTCCGCCTGAATGCCAAACTTCAAGGACCAAGGTGCATGGCGCGAAGCGCCACTGCAGTCTTGTGTGTATATATAGATATACATAGATATATTCCTCTTCCTATATTTTTACAAGCCCAGGCGGGGGGAAAACCCGCCCCCCCCCACACACACAAAAAAACCAGGCTCCGGGGATCTGGGGCTTTTGGGGAGGGGTAAATCCCTCACCGAAGGGAAAAGGGAAGATGGAAGAGGAAACTCGCTAAACCACTCACGCCCGGAGGGCTTGTGAGACTTCAGAACGCTTGGGCGGCCTTGGACGCCGAACCGACAACATGGGACCAGGTCCGTCTCGCTGCCCAACCCCCCTCTCTCGTCCAATCCTTCCTGCCCTGCAGCCCCCGGTCCTCCTTGCTTGCCCGTCTGTCCGTGCCCCCCCCCCCCCGAGCTGCGAGGGAGGGAGGGAGGGAGGAAGAGGGAGGGGGTATACAGCGTCAGTGAGCGAGGGACGGCGGAGGGGAAAGAGAGAGAGATGGAGCGAGGGACATGGGCGTACGAAGGAGGAGAGGGCTTGCGAGGTCCGCCGACACGGGCTGCTACTGCTCCGACGACGATCTGCACGCCATGCTCGCCAGCTTTGGTGGCCAGATTTGCCCGCCCGGGAGCTCGGTCGGGACGCTTCCGAAGGCCTGCCGGGTACCATCTTTCGTTATCGTTTTCTCCCGCTCGTGTTCCCGCTCGGCGCCCTCCTCCACCTTCTGATTATCCCTTTGTCCCTCCCCCTTCCCTTTCTCAGCCCTACCCCTTCCATTCCTCTTCCCCCTCCTTCCCCTTCCCCACGGTGGTTCACGCGTGGCATGCACACAGCTGTGCCTGATAACGTACGGACCCCCAGGCCAGCGCGCTTCCGCCCAGCGCCTGGTCGCTCACCTGATGTTTCTTCGAGGCCTGGTTCTAGCCGTTCTCGTTCGCCTGCTTGGTATCGCCGTCTGGAGAAGAGGGAAGAGGCTTCTCGAGAGAGGCAGTCGCTCGGGAAGCCGTCCAGGCACATCACGGCTCTGCTATGCCAGGATACAGGCCGTCCAGGTCATCGTCAGCGGTTCCTGGGAGAAAGTAACGGAAATGTCAGGGGCCCGAGGTGGGCGTGCATCGCGTCTCGCCAATGCCGGTACACTCAGAATTTTGCGAACAACACTCGTTGCTTTCGTTGTGGTCGTGATCGGAGCGGGAAGTCGGGCACACGTCACGAGCCAAAAGCATGTGCTCCTCGCAGAAAGCTTCCACAGTCCAGAGGCACATGTACCATTGGTAACGAGTCGGCCGCGGGCAGCACGGGCATAGGGCAGCATTATTGTCAATAGTGTGGCGCGCGTGAGAAGGGCAGTTGGGCGCGCTCAAGAAGATTGGTGTGGACGACATCTCCCCGCTGACCAATCGGGCCAAGGCCGATCTGGCTGAGGCAGAAGCGGGAGCAGGCCACCAGCGCTCGACAGACAGACAGCCAAGAGGAAGGAGGTTGATGAGTTGCAAGCTTCGGTCACTGCGCCCACCGTGGAGTTCAATGGCACGCAGCTGTCGTTGGCCGAATCCAAGAGCGAGCTCGAGCTGATCAAGAATGAGGTTGTCATTGCGCGCGTTGCTAGCATGGCAGCGTCGCCAAGCCGTGATGTTTTTGCACGTAGGGTTAAGGAGCTTCTGGCCAGGATCCAGACGATCGTCATCAGTGTACCAGCAGCGATCCTTGTAGGGAACTAGCAGACGATGTTGTAGTCCCTCACGGCACAGATAAGGCAGGTACAGGCAGCAGTATCAACTCCTCCAGCAGCGATGGCAGCGGCATCGTTGCCACCGCCGACATCATCACCATCACCGCCAGCACATGATTATCAGCAAACCGTCTGGGACCTTGAAATTGACTGGGTCGGTGATGACGGCGAGAATTAGCGTGCCGGTATCCATTTGCACTATTCCATGCGAGCCCTTGAGAAGGGCCGCCAGGCGTTCGGGGCGAAAGCCCTCCATCTTCGTCGCTGGCCTTTCTCGGAGGAAGTGGCCTGCATTGTTGCTTCTCAGGAGGTACGTTTTCGTGGAGATGACAATAGTCATTCTGAGGAATGGTGTGCCAGAGCTGGTTGGAAAGCTTTTACCACTGATTGTTTCGCGGGACCCGTCGGATCTATGATGGCGTGTGTAGACTTGTCCGATGGAAGTTACACAGGTGTTACATACTTTCACTGCCTTCCACATGATAGAGATCACGTTCTAGTTAAGTCCTGGTGTGTGGTAGCGGATGCACATGCTGGGCCCACAGGTGGGTTCATAGCAGGCTGATTTTACCTAGAGCAACGTTTCGGACTGCGAGCCGAGAATATCGAAGGACTGGAGTCGCTGGAGGCAGCCCTACGACACTACAAGGCGCCGTTCATCGTCGGTGGCGACTGGAATGTGTTCCTACAGTTTTGAGTGTGTCCGATGTAGTATCATGCGTGGATGGGCATGTGGCTGACGGTTCGGAAGGATCTCGCAGCGTGGTAAGGACGGGCAAGCACACTTTCGTCGACTATTGGTTGGCAAGTGATTCCAGGGCAAGTGTCATGAAGTCACCGCGAAGGGCTCACGATTCTGCTCCGCGACCGCACTACCCAATGATGGTGGATGCCGAGCCGCGAGCCCACATTGTTCAAATGTTGCGTGGCCCCGTGGTCTTTCCGAAGAAGCTCGCCAGGTTTCCCAAGTCGGACCTAGCGGATGAGAGTGACGATGAGCTGGTACCAATTGGGGATCCAAAGTTTACTAGTTTAATCGTGTGGATGTCATGCAGCATGATTCGACTCGAGAAGACAGCAACGATTCGACGATACATGATATATCCAAGCAGAGCGCATCCAGGAGTTGCGGCGGAGATTGCAACTCTGTTCGGCGTGGACCAGCCCGTCAAGTGTCGCAGTAGAGGCGATATCGTCGGGTACCATCACAGCACAGGAGGAGCATTGGGGCATCATAAGCCAGAAGGGACTGCTACAACGCGGGCCTCACGTTTTCTGCAGCACCGAGTTAAAGATCTCGGACATTGTGCGCAAGCATGAACACGTGCCTCAGCATCAGCATTGGTCGGTACGGCGTCCAACATTACAGTTCATGGCAGGGAAAAGTCAGGTGCGCAGACTGGCAGGAGCTCTGGCACCTTGTCTGGCCAAAGAAGTGGCACTGCTTCTTGTCGGTACTCCTGCACAGCCTGGCGAACATCACGCCGCCAGACTGAAGAGTCTCGCAGATTCCATTGCCAAGCTGGCCGCAAGGGACGAGCACGAGATTGACAAAACGAGAGCGAAAATTTGCCAAGTGGCTTCGTGATTGCATGGCCACTCAGTCCAAGCCAGCACATGCATGGACTATCGCGTTTGGACACTGTCGCAAGTCGATGCATCACTAGGCCCATCCAGTCACGCCAGCGACGTTGCTAGTGTACAGCGAGAGCTCTGGAGAGATCTGGGACGGCGCAGAGGCATCCGGAAGCTTAGAGGATATGCACGGTGAGTTTGATTTTCCGCGTAGCCAAGGGTTTCGGTTGCTTCCAGCGGGCATGCTGGCGGTCCGCCGGGCTGCTAAGTGTTTCATTTCTAAGACAGGTGTGGTTCTTGATGCATTTAGACAACAGCATTGGGCATATGCTAGCAGTGGAGCTCTACCACTCATAGGTAGCATGTTCTACTCATGCGGAAGTTGATCCACGTGGCCCCAGTGCACCAGTGCATGAGTTACGTGCGCGCGGTGCTATTAGCTACGCCTACTGGTGGATACAGGGCGAAAGCGGCTCCTGGGACCTCTGCATCTTCTTTGGGCTAAAGCACGTCTGGTTCACGTTCGTGCGCAGACGTCACAAGTAGCTAGGGCGCACATGGCACAAGGAGCAGGCAAGTGCACCACCGACGTTGCATCACGCATTCTTCTTCGAGGGGAAGTACTCGCAGTGCCTCGCTCCAAGGATGACCAGGTGGTTGGTCATTGTATTGCGCACAATGAAAATTATTCGACTAGGTTGCGCGGAAGCGGATTGTGCGGGCAGGTAGGCATCACTCCTTTTCCAGGTGCGTCGCTTGCCCCGGCCATCCAGATGCGCAGTTCAAGGCGCAGGGCCACGTGGGAAAATGCTCACTCAGATACTGCGTGGCCAGGGCGCAGCATCGCGATGTTCATCCTTCAGTTTGCCCCCCCTCGCCCCCGTCGACGCACCCCTGAGAAACGCGATGCGCGCGCCGATTTCTGCGCGCATGCGCGGGCGACACGACCTTGGAGATCGCGGCGAGCGTAGAGCACGTCGTTAAGCAAGCCAGCGAGGCGTTAGGCAGTATAGCCGAGATGCTGGGTGACGTTGGGCTCAAAACCAGCCTAGCGTAAGATGGCGGTATCCTGTTCGGACATGTCGGCCGTGCCCGAGGCATGTCGTGGTGTCAGAGTTCCTGGGCACAGGGCAGTCGCAGCTTTGGTGGTCTCGGGAGTGGAAGTTGCTTCGGGACGCCCAAGTCAGCATCGAAAGCTGAAGGCTCCTTGCAGAAAGATGAGATCCAGGTGTTCGTGATTTCGTGGAAAAAAGGAGAGCTGGGACCCTGCTCAGCAAATGTGCAAGGCAAGCGGCGCCGACATCCCTCAGCCACGGAGCGGGGGTTTACGGTGCGCCGCCAGCTCTGGTTACAGCCGTGCGAAGTTCGATTGGCAGTATTTGGTCCGAGCTTCGTTTCAGCTTGGATCATCACCATCAGCATCAGCATCATCATCATCATCATCATCAGCATCATCATCATTAACCTCATCAGTATCATCATCATCGTCATTGGCAGCATCATCATCATCATCATCATCATCATCATCATCATCATCATCATCATCATCATCCCTCTCGCTCTCTCTGGTGTCCATTTCTATATCTCTCTCTCTCTCTCACTTTCTCCTGCGCGGCAACCCTGCCGTGGGCCCTCAACTCTCTGCGCGGGCAGGCCCGTTGTCCCCCAGGGGGCCTCGATGCGTTGGGGCGCGGAGCTGCGCGAGTTGATGCGGGCGGCGTGGCAAAGACGGGCCGTGGCATTATCGAGATAGGAGGTACCGGGGTAAAGTTGCAGGGCCAGCAGGCGCCACCTTGCTCGCGCCCAGGGACTTGAGATGGCAGTCGTCCTCAGCCTTGCTGCGGGGAACGGACCGCGGGGAGTCGTTGGAGTTGCGCGATTTCTCTCCTGCGGCCTAGCGAGACTCGGCGAGGGAGGGCGCGGAAAGACGTTCCTGGGAATTGTTGCCCGAGAAGCCTGGCCGTGATCGCGGCGCTGACATGGGCCAGAAGAATGTGCGTGGATATGGAATAGAACCCGCCCTGAGCGCGATGGGCAAAGCTATGGATGAGGAGGACAGCGAAAGGCCGCGCCTACTCACCAAGCAGCAGCTTGCTACCCTGAGGGCGCTCGTCACTGGCGCGCTGTGGCCACCTTCTGGAAGGAAGGAACGCTTGCGGGTGTGCCGACCATGCCAAGTGTCATGCGTCCAGTTGCGAGCATGTTGACTTTTGACATATCCCATGGGCGCCTGGTTGCAACGATGATGGCAGGAGGCATGTGGTTGATGAAGAGGAGAAGCACAATCGCCGACCAGCAGTCTTACCGCCATCGCGGTTCCAGGCTGGATGCCCTCTTTCCAGAGATGCACTTCCAGGCGTGCCGCCCGGGAACGACACTCACGTTTGGAATGTCATGCATGAAGGCGCTTCTACTGCGACAGGACATGTCTTCCGTGACGGGGCATGTCAGAAGTTTGCTCATTGGAAGGAGGCCGCTCGTGCTGGCTGGGACTTTGAGCACATATCCGAGCCCAACATACTGCCAGTGGTATGCGGACCGCTCCCTGGACCAGCCCAAGCAGCGCCGAGGGCAGAGTTGTTCGCGGCTCTTCAGGTTCTTCCGATAGCAGCACTGCCCATTCACATACACACGAACTACGAGGACCTTCCAGACGGGTTGCAGCGAGGCCTTGCATGGACCACGCGTCCTCGTAGGCCCAATCGTTGACCTGCGGCGTGGGAGCTGGCACGGGATTGAAGACCTCGGGGGGCACTCTGAGGATCTCTAATGCGTCCACGTCAAATGGCACCAGAAAGGCCAAGAGTATCCCGCTAGGGGCAAACGCTGGGCTAACTTCGGCGCCTGTCCAGGGAGGGACGTGCGCGCGGTCCCCAGGGGGTGCGCCTAGGACTCTTATGTTACTAAAAACGCCCGCACGGCAATGGTTTGGCTCGCGAAGACCCACGCTAAGTACACGAATGGTGATGTTGTGCTTGGCGAAGCTAGGTCCCTAGAGCGGCAGAGGGCTCGGCTGAAAAAGGCTGCCCCGCCATTTGGCCACGCATTAGTGCGTCATATTTCTCTCAGGGGCTCTTTGAAGGCGCCCAGCTTGCACCAAGTGTGTCAACAGTCTTCGACGGCGCAAGGTACTCGCGAAGCGGACGTGCCCAGCGAAGCTAATCTTGCGCGATCGAATGCAGCGTCTGTCACCTCGAAGTTTCGTCCCAGCGGCCGCCCCCGTTTGCAGCGATCGCATCTCGCAGGAGCATGGTGATGACCAGACCACGGAGGGGCATGGTCGTTTGGAGCCGTCGTCGTCTTGGGAAGGAAGAAGGACCGACGCCAATGTTGTCCCATCGAGCGGTGTAGCAAGGCGTGGACGCAGTCGTTCACCTTCCCCTGTTTTGCGTAACGCGCGGGTAACTCGACAGGACCCGACGCCGCTCGCCTTCACCACAGCTCGGGAGGGCCCAGGCGAGACTTCCGACCCAGACGAGAGGGGAGAGAGCGACGGCCGTCCAGTTTGTTCCTCGAGAGGCGGCCGCTTTGCACGATGCCGTCGGCGGCGTGGCGCAGGCCCGAGCCCGCGACTTTGCCGCCGCCGCTGCCTCGCCTGCCTCGGCCTCCACCTCTGCTCCCCCGGGCGGGGGGAGGCGGGAGGCGGGCGGTGGGGGGAGCTCCCGCCAAGTCGAGGCGCCTCGGAGGCACGAAAGGCGGAGCGGTGCCAGCCAGAGGCCGGTTTGATCAGATGCAGGACGGACCCAGAGATCCGAGGATTTTTTTTTTGTCAATGTGTTTTTGTTCCTGGATTTCGGCCTCCGTGGCCCGTTATCGGGCCTGGTGGCCATCAAAATAGGTTCGGAACGAAAAGCCACCCCCAGGGAAGGGGTCGGGACCTCTGGGGCCGCGGATTGGAAAAATCAGATCGGCGGATGTCTGGGGAGACGTCAGGCCAGATGGCGCCTGAGGGCACGCACTTTTTTTGTCCCTTAGCGTCTACAAATGCAAAGGCTCTCCCCTGAGAGACGGATGCCCCCTGGTAAACGTGCTGCTTCGCATATACCTAGGTTCCTAACCATTCGGCGCCTGGCGGTTTAGCACAGGCATGAGAGGTTTTCGTGCCAGCGAAGGCTGAGGGTCACCGGCCCCGCGTTGGATTGGTTGCAGCTCGACCAACTTGTTCGGTTGTCGTTCTCTTTCTCGAATGAGTTTGTCTTCGGGCTTTTGCGCTGGCGCGCTGTCCCGCCCCGATTTCTTTCTGAGTGGACACTCGGGTCAGCGCCGTGCCTTGTGCTTGCACGGGGGGAGCCTCCTGTGCCTTCTGTAGTGCCTGTCAGCGCTCCGCGCGACGGACCCCTTCAGGCTGCGCATCCTTCCCCTTCCCCTCCTCCTCCTTCTCCTCCGTAGCCAGTTGGGCTCAAGCGCGCCCAGGCCGCGCGCGGCGGCGGCCGCCATGTCTGAACCTGGTTCCTAATGAGCGCGATCGCCAAGGGATGTCTGCGAATCTTGATTTCCTTTGAGTGCGAGTGGTTCTGGTATAAAGCGGTCTCTGAGGTGTGGTCCGACCTGGACCTGGAACTCAACGCGTGTCTCGGGGAGGACTATTTGCCGGTAGTTGGAGCTATCAGGCCCAGGCCGGGAGGCGCATGTGGCTCGGAGTCGGCTTTAACGTGGCTCATGCTGCGGGCGTTCGGTGTGATAGTCGAATGGTGATGTGCTACTCCGGCCGCGAATTGTGGGGTTCCATGGAGGGGGCCGGAAAGCCCATTGGCAAGCAAGTGCTGCAGAAGTTGCTCGTGGGCTGAGAGCCTAGGGAAGCGGTTCTCCCTCGCACGGCGGAAGGTCTACGCAGCTCCCGTGCGGGAGTCTGGTCGGTTTTGGTGGCTTGGCCTTGGCGGCCTGGCGCGGGGTCTTGGGGCTCCTTAACGGGTGGTTTTCTATCGACTGGTGCGGGGTTTGGTCGCCCTCCTTCGTGTTTCGCCGGCGTGCGAGGGGTCTTCGAACGGCCGAATCATCACGACCATCCTCCTCCTCCTCCTCCTCCTCCTCCTCCTCCTCCTCCTCCTCCTCCCGCTGGTGCTGCTACTGCTGCTGTCCAAACTTTGCCAACGAGGCGCATGCGCACCAACGCTGGGACCCTGGTTGGCCTCGCCATGTTCGATTTCGAGGATGAGGAGGAGGAAGAGGAGGGGAAGGGGGATGAGGGGAGGAAGGGAGGAGGGGAGGATGAAGATGAGGAGGAGGAGGAGGAGGAGGAGGCGGAGGGGAGGAGGAGGAGGAGGTGGAGGAGGAGGAGTTGCGGAGCTGCGCATACTGCGACCAGGTCGGAAGGAGGAGGTCAGGAGGAGAAGGAAGAGGAGAAGAAGGAGGAGGAGGCGGAGAAGGAGTGTCAAGTTGGCGTCTTGCCAAGGCCGCCGCGGGGGCCGTGCTCACCCCGATGTCCACGTACCGCTCTTCCCTCGTGCGCTCGGTCTTCGACAGGCTCGACTCCGACAGGGACGGCAGGCTCAGCGAGAAGGATGTTGGCCGTCTGCCGCGGTCGGGGCCCACAGAGCGTCCAAAGTTTGCGCAGTTCGTGCGACCATCAATGAGGGTATGGACGGTTGGGGTGGGTAGGGGAAGGCAGGAAGGGGGGAGGACAAGATCGGGGCGGCAAGGGGAGACTTTTCTTACTTGCAACAGTACTCATGCGCGCGCCTGCGTTCCTCCGAACAGAAAAAAATGGCCTTTCCCCGCACCCAACAAGAAGGAGAGCGGCAGCGTTCCAACGAAAACAGGGGTCGGCTTAAGGTTGCCGCCAGCTGGCCGTAGTCATTCGAATGCCCGTCAAGGCCCCCAAACAGTGTTTACACGTATGGGTTCCTTGTCCGAGCTTCCAAGCGATGAATTTGTTGGGGGTAGAGGGAGGACGATGAAGAGGAGGAGGAGGAGGAGGAGGAGGAGCGAGGAGGGGAGGAAGAGGAGGAGACAGGGGGGTACACAAAACATCCGAGTGATCAATTTTCTGGGAGTGTCGGGGTTTCGCTGCGTGCTGCGTGGGCGCCCCATGCGCTGGGCGGGGCGGGGCGGGGCTTCACCGGCGTGGGCGCCCCTTGCGCTGGCTGGGCGAGTCGGGGATCGCCTGGTGCTCGTCGGGGCCCGTGGGCCTGCACCGCATAGCTGAATTAGCTTACACCGCACAACTGCCACCCCACAGCTTACACAGCTTAGCTCACACTTCGTCTCGTCTTCACAGCTTGCACCATACAGCTTGAACCACCTGACCGACACCACATCCCCTACGCAATATATCGTGCACCGCACAGTTTACACCACATACCGCGCACCACGCAGCTGGCGCCACATGTCGTACACCCCATAGCTTGCACCATGTAGCTTACAGCGCACGAGCTACTCGCACCGCACAGCTTTCATCACAGTACAGAGCATCTTGTGTGGAGCCAATCATTGCCTAAGTATAGGCGTGATACAAGTACTAGTTATTCAGTTCAGCCTAACGCTGTGCTGCTGAGGCGAGCTCAATCACAACAACGCCTAGCTCAGCTTGGTTTGGCAATAGTTGCACTCGTGTTGCTAATTTCGGCATCAAGATGAAGAACGTTGGAAGATGTTGGAGCCGCCTTGGAGTCTTCCTGGAATCCCCTCGGCGTGCTTGCGGAGTCTTTTTGGGACACTTCAGCCCCTCGTGGGACCATGATGGGGGCAATCGATCAAATTACGCTGGCGACGTACCCAAACCTTGCGCAATGCGGGGCATTAGTACGTCAGGATTGCTACAACGGTGGAGATGGCGTAACATGGACGCATGTGAATTTGCGAGCAGCAACCGGAAGGCTCGCAGGCCCCCGATCAAAATATAAGGGCGTCGTAGTGGTTACGAAAGCAGCCCCCCAGGGACGGCGAGGTCTCGCTCAGGTCCCCGCGGTGCCTCACTCCGCTGGACCCAGCAGCAGCCCTCATAAGTGGCGACAGTGTCGCAAATCACAACCCCCCCCAAGGGACGGCGAGGTCTCGCTCAGGTCCCCGCGGTGCCTCAGTCCGCTGGACCCAACAGCAGCCCTCGAAAGTGGCGACGGTGTCGCAGATCGCAGCCCCCCCAGGGACGGCGAGGTCTCGCTCAGGCCTCCGCGGTGCCTCACTCCGCTGGACCCACCAGCAGCCTTCAGAAGTGGCGACAGTGTCGCAGATCGCAGCCCACCAGGGACGGCGAGGTCTCGCTCAGGTCCCCGCGGTGCCTCTTTCCGCTGGACCCAGCAGCAGCCCTCGAAAGTGGCGACAGTGTCGCAGATCGCAGCCCCCCCAGGGACGGCGAGGTCTCGCTCAGATCCCCGCGGTGCCTCAGTCCGCTGGACCCAGCAGCAGCCCTCCGAAAGTGGCGACAGTATCGCAGATCGCAGCCCCCCCAAGGACGGCGAGGTCTCGCTCAGGTCCCCGCGGTGCCTCAGTCCGCTGGACCCAACAGCAGCCCTCGAAAGTGGCGACAGTGTCGCAGATCGCAGCCCTCCAGGGACGGCGAGGTCTCGCTCAGGTCCCCGTGGTGCCTCACTCCGCTGGACCCGCCAGCAGCCCTCGAAAGTGGCGACGGTGTCGCAGATCGCAGCCCCCCAGGGACGGCGAGGTCTCGCTCAGGTCCCCGCGGTGCCTCACTTCGCAGGACCCCCCAGCAGCCCTCGAAAGTGGCGACAATGTCGCAGATCGCAGCCCACCAGGGACGGCGAGGTCTCGCTCAGGTCCCCGCGATGCCTCAGTCCGCTGGACCCACCAGCAGCCTCCGAAATTGGCGACAGTGTCGCAGATCGCCCCCCTCACTCCGCTGGACCTACCAGCAGCCCTCGAAAGTGGCGACAGTGTCACAGATCGCAGCCCCTTGGCAAGATGCACACACAAGAGGTACTGCAGCCAGGATGCACACACACACACACACGAGGTACTCACACGACAAGAGGAGACAAGAGGAAAGCGAGAGACGAGAGGCGGGAGGAGGAGGACTGGAGACCACAGTGCTTTACTCAAAACGAATGCCCAACCAAAGAGGGTTGGGAAAAAGAAGGGGGAGGCCCATTTAGCCCCCCCCCATGGGATAAACAGATGTTCCACTTTGGGACCTCGTTGAGCCTCGTTGGAGCTCCGTACGGCCTATTGGACGACTCTTGGGGTGCCATCAGCGCCTTCAGGGTTCCCCTGGGGAACTGTTGGGTCCTTCTTAAGACCCTTCTCCAAAAGGTGAAAAGGCGACGAGCACTGGAACACATTCGGTTTACTTGTTTTCTTTCGGATGTTCTGTTGAGGGGGCTCCGCAGTGACCACAGAGCCATCTTGTTGGTTGAGCCTCTTCGCATAATGCTGGAGACCATTTGAAGCCAGCTTGGTGGCAATCTTGCGCAATCTGGGAACATCTTGATTTTGTCGAGGGCTTTCTTGGAAAATAGTCGCGCGTCGGTCGACGCAAGACGGAGAAACAGCTTCAACATTGACGCTCCAGGGAAGGAGTTCATGTCAACCCCTCCCAAAGGAATAGAAAGGGGTTGTTACCTGCCATGGTGGAGCTCAGGATTTCCTGACATGGTGGAGCTTACCCGTGGCTGGCATTCTCTGCAAGTCCGTGTCAAAACTTGTCTAAACGCTTTTGATTTTCGAGCGCCAACAGCCTTCACCGTTCGCGCTTCCAATCGCTGCCTCGTGCTCTGGGCACGGCATCTGGACGAGGATAATTCCGTTCCAGAGCGTTCCAGGACGCTTTGAGAACGTCCGGGAACGCTCCGAGAAGGCCGTGGCGCCCGAGACATCCCCCCAGAGCCGCCGGATCTCAGAGATTCCCGATCTATCCCCACCAGATGTTATCCTCGTCCTAGCCTCGTCTTGGGGAGAGGCCAGGAGGTTGCTGTGCCCCGTGGCTGGCCACGCCGTCGCGTGAGTGCCCGCCGTAGGCAGGCCAGTGCAGGCTGCCGCTGCCGCGCGCCAGGATCCCACCACAGACCAGGGTCGACGGCGCCGTGATCCTCCCCTCGGCGGCGAGGGGGGAAATTTGAGGTTCGAGGTTTTAGGGCGTCTTCGTCGGTTCTCGGCGGTTTTCCAGCCTCTTCGGGATGCTTGCCAGCAGCTGCGCCTCGCCGATGGCCTTCCGGAGGTGCCCAGATCGTTCCGAACGGCCACCAGGAGGCCTGAGTTTTGGCCCAAAAACCACATTCGGCGGCGAGCGAGTAGGGGAAGTGAGAAGGAGAGGGCCTTCTCAGAAGGCGGCGGGACTTCTCAGAAGCCCTTGCGCCTTCTGGGAGGTGTCTGTGTCTTCGGGGAAGGCTCAGAGGACTGTTTGCAAGGCCAGGGGATTCCCGAGCCTTTGTGAGAAGGCCCGCCCCATCTCACTTCCCCCCAGGGCTCGCCGCCGATCCCCACGTAACGCCGCGCGCCGTTTCCGCGCAGTAAGCGGAGTTCGTGCGGCTCGGCCTGGAGGACGGGAGTGTCACTGTCGAGTGTGTGGGGCAGCATCCTCGAGACGGGTAACGGATTGAGTTCGGGTCACAGCGAGGGCGACTAGCTGGATTGCGAGACATCATGGCAAAGCTAAAAACATCGGCGCCGTCACAGACGTGGCCTGATGCCAAATGAGAGGAGGAGAAGGATAAGGAGTGACCAGTGTAAAGGCAAAGTTCATCAACGATATTGCAATGAACCCTCCCTCCAAGTTCCCTAAACATTGGCCCCATACAAGGATTCATTTTCACTGAGGGCTTCGCCCCGTTGGAGGACAACCGTCTGCAAATCCTGAACTGCGCCAGAACACGACTCCTGGGACTTTCACGCCGCGACTCACCGTTACTGCTGCGTTTTGAAAATTTCGAACCGCGCCAGGACACCATGTCGGAGATTTCAGCACCACGACTCCACGCAACTGTTGCGCCCTGACAATCCGACATCGTGCCAAACCACCATTTCTGAAACGTAAGCCATGGGAATCCTTGAAGCGGTTATCAATTCTTGAAACGAATAATATGCGCGACGTTAAGGCGAGAGTCACATGTTGAAAATGTGCCGCCCTCCATCCGCGAAGCTCTTGCAAGTGTTTTACACAATTGCGCGCGGCGCTGAGGCGAGAACCACATTTTGAAAACGAGCCGCCCTCAATCCGTGAAGACCTTGCAAGTGTTGAAGGGGAATGTGCGCGGCGCTGAGGCGAAAGCCATATTTTGAAAAGGAGGCGCCATGCTGCCGTTAAACTCATGCATGTTTAAAAGTGAGCGCGCACGGTGCTAAGGCGAAAACGATATTTTGAAAACGGCCCGACCTCCATCCGTGACATTTTTGCAGGCTTGTGCAACGGATGCGCGCGGTTCTAAGGGGATAACAACATTTTGACAACGGCCTGCCCTCTATCCGCGAAGCCCTTGCGAATTTGGAGCGTCAGGATCACACATGATGAGGAATTCTCGGGCGAAACGCCCAGCCCGCCCTTTCGACCGGCCTCGGGGTGCGACAGGGAGGCGAATAAGGAAAAAGAGGGGAGGAGGAGGAGGAGGAGGAGGAGGAGGAGGAGGACCAGTGCAAACACAGGACTCATAAACGATGTTGGAATACCCTCTCCCTCCAAGCTCCCTCTTCACAGGCCCCTACAAGAGGTCATTTCCACTGAGGGAACTGCCCCGTTGAGGGACAGCCGTGTGAAAATTCTGACGCGTGCCAAGACATCATTCTCGGGCTTCCAACGCCACGAGTCAACCTGATTGTTGCGTCCTGAAGATCCTGAACCGTGCCAGAACACAATTCCTGGGACTTCCACACCGCGAATCAATGTAATTGTTGCGCCCTGACACTGCCGAATCATTCCAAAACACATTTCTGGAATGTTAGCCATGAGAATCCGCGAAATCCTTGCAATTTCTTAAGACGAGTGTGCGCGCCGGCGCTAAGGCGAGAGCCACGCGGCGCTGAGGCGAAAGCCACACATTGAAGACGGCCAGTCCTCAATCCGCGAAGCTCCTGCAATTTGCTAAGACGACTGCACGCGGTGCTGAGGAGAGAGCCACATTTTGAAAACGAATCGCTGCCAACCCGTGAGAATGTTGAAGTTGTTTAGTACGAATGTGCGCGGCGCTTAGGCGAAGGCCACAGTTTAAAAGCGGCCCGCCCTCCATCTGTGAAATTGCTGTTAGGTTTTAACCTTCAGGCTCATAAGTGGTAAGGAAGTCTCAGGCGAAACGCCCAGCCCACCCTTCCGACTGGCCTCGGGGTGCGACAGGGAGTAGTTATCCATGGAGAAAAGGAATGGGGGAGGAGGTTTCTGGGCCGATAGCCACAATGGGCGTAATTGTGTAAGGGAGTACCCCCCAGTCACAAGGCGGGGGATGTGGGACGGGGAGTGATAGGTACGGGAGGGAGATACGGAGGAAGGATGGAGGGGGAGCTGAAGGGATGGAGGATGGCAGGGGCAGGGAGGAGACGGGGGGACGGAGAGACGGCGCGGGATGCTGGAGGGGATAATCCGGATAATTCTTCAAGACGGGGCCTTGCTCCTCCCTCTCGCGAACGTTTGATTACACACAATCGACCAACCTTTTGAGCGGCCAACCCTCCCGCCCGAAGCCGACCCACCCCCCCGCCGGAAGTCCTTGGTGTCCGAACGCGGGATGATGGAGGGGGGCGGGGGGAGGGGGAGGGGAGGGCTGGGGGTGAGTGAGTGTGCCCCTTCCCAGAAGAGCGTCGGGAGCGTGAAGCTCGACTTTGCACCCCTCTTCCCCCTCACTCTCCCCTGGTCGTCCTTGCCCTCGTCCTCCTCGTCCTCATTGTCCTCATCGTCGTCGTCGCCGTCGTTGCCGTCGCCGCCGTCCTCATCCTTTCAAAAGCACGGCGCCCCAGAACGCTCGGCGCCCCAGGAGATGCGTGCTTTCGCTGGCCACACTGGCTACGAATGCAGCGAGGAGGCGTGGACGACAGAGTTCCAGCAGCTCTGCGT